TCCTATAATATTGTAATAATATCTATATTAAATTTCAATATTATTTTATTTTAAAATTATCTAGAGATGAACCGACTTATAATTTCATTTTTCATCTAAATAAATTTAGAATGAAATCGTTTTTATTTTATCTAAGATATATTTACGTATAATTTATCTTATCTTTAGATAATTTTTCATTATCTAAGCGAACACTGGATGAAATATTACTGAAATATTACTTGAAAAACAATATTCTATATGTATATAAACTTATTTAATATTAATTGACATGACAGATTTAATTGCTTATATTCATACGACGTTTGTGTCCTAGAAATGTCATTGAACGCTATGTAAATTTTAATAAGCTACTATTCGCGGTCGTACAATTTTCCGTCCGACGTAAAGTTTGATTATTCTCTCTAAAGCTTTAATTGCCGTCAGTTGTCAGGAGCAAGAATCGCTTTGGCCAATCTTCGAGTTATGAGAAAATTGGCCCACTTATTATCTATCGCTTCCTTGTCGCGCACTCACGCTCACCCGCGCTTTTAATCGACATCGGCGTTATCGCGCACTTAAATGTGTTCGGCATGACTTTTAATGTCGCGGAAATGCGTTAAACAATAGCACGCACGAAACAGTTTACGCGTAGACAATTGCGTCAGTAACGACGCAGAAAGGGTACGTTAATGTTAATGACTCGCGTACACGCTCCCTCTGCGCGCAGGGCCTATTTGCTAATGGGTAGCGAGCGATTAATATCGTAGGCCTTTGATGCCCTTTAGGTGCGAGCGAATAGCGCAGCGAGCTTTCTGAGAATAGCGACTACACGCGGGAAATCATGCACGAATATCCATATAACATTTATTATGTGGACTTTGTTTAATGACTATGGATGAAAACGCGGCTATAACGTTTTGTGGTGTAAATACACACTGCTATTAGTTCTGTATTATGCAAGTTGTTAGAGCTATTGTATACAATATCGTCCCGTATGTAAATTTAGAATATTTAATAATCTATAATATATGATAAATTTGCATGAATAAACATAGACAATTTTTCTTGAGAACTTATTAATGGATTTGTTTAAATTGTAGTTTTATTATTTTAAATTTTAAATTTCAATTAAATTGAAGTTTCGATTTCGAAATATTAAATGTTTAACGGTGATTAAACCGGTAAACGGTGATTGAGATCTTTATTTATATTCTTGAGTCTGCAATAAAGATCTCAATAATTAAATAAGAATTGTATTAATTATTAGGTATTAATTATTTTTTTATAATAAAAACTTCTAACAATTCAATTTTAATAAATAATAAATATCAAGGTAGAAAATAAGCAATACGTTTCTCTTTTTATTTGTTTCTTTTTTAAATTACATTATGTAATTAAAAAAAATTTTCTTAAGAGAGAGAGTCACAAAATCTTGATTTATATCTAATTCATTATTTATTTGAAAATAAAATTTTGTGAATTTATTAGATGCTTAGAAGTAGCTAAGTATAAAGAGAGAATCGAAAATTTCAAAAATTGAATATTTGAAAATCAACGTTCAAGATTATAAAAAATATGTATATTTTTATATTTATATTTGAAATCATTCTATCTATAGGCTTGCATTGAAAAGTCAATTATAAGCTTGCTCATGCATAATTATCAGTTCCATTTAGTATGAAATACGCTTACTGATTGCTATGAGAAATAAATGAAAGTCATCTTGTTTCATGCCATAGCAGTGACACGCCTGCATTCATTTGCGATGAAAAATCGGTCGACATTATTCGCGTTATTGCCATTGGAATATTGGCAGTTGAGATGGAGAGCTCATGACAATACAGCATGCCGACCAATGTCGGTTGGAGAAAATGGCGGAAATATAAAGCTCTAATGGTTTTTGGCGGGACTGGTGTATCGATTCTCGTGCGGCTCCGCGCATTAATCGATCGTAAATGTTGCATAAATACTTGCGCGACCACCACGACGAATCCACCGAATAGTTCAGCGCGGAATAACGTCGGCCTTACTGGAATTCAGTTCATTTCAACAGGTCACATATAATTCAATTTAACGTGCATAGTCCAACGGCATTGTTTTTACTGTTGAATCAACACGTTTCGCATCACGACAATATCACGGAATTTGCATTGCACGACGTTGCCCGACTGATGTATTCATTCTGAAGCGATTCTATCTCGGTTACTATTTTTCATTAATGAATTAATTAATCTTTTAATCACATGCCTGGTCGCAGCTTCTTAAAAGCTCAGACGATTTATATTAAACGGTCCGTATACACATGGATTATCTTATCTTGAATATAATATAACAATGTATAATCGCAATTCATTATGTTTAACCGTTATCTTCCTTATGTCCTACTTATTGCAATTTATGATAAAATAAACGACAATATTTGCAGCGTGCAACAAAGTAGTTATCATGTTGTGCTAATTGAAAATGCAAGCATATTAAACGTACGCCGTTGATCATGTGCTAACGCGATTAGCATTATCACGATTTGGCAGACTAACAAGTAGATACGTACATATTGACACATAGTCAAAAGGCATTACCACACATTCTCGGAATATTTTGAATATTCAAATACATGTGCGGACATTGCGAAAGCAAAAGCTAGTCGTCGTTGAGCGGTCAGAAGTGTTTGCACACGGCAGCTTGGAAATTGCGAACATTATCGCGCGGCTCGATCCCACGGCACTCTCGCATTCTCGAGAGGATCGATACGAAGGCTACAATTAACTGGATACAGTCGCGCCGGCAACCGACAGATATCTCACTGACTGACGCAAAATATTTCGCTGGCTCGACCCTTTTTTCATGCCTCTCGTCTGCTCGCTTGCGCAAATTTCAACTCGTCGCTCGATGGAATTCAGTCATCGCGAGGTAATTTTTCAAAAATTATTCGTTCGCTTCACTAAGAATAACTAACGTCGCAAATAGACATAAACCTGCAAAAAATTTTTTGAAATAACAGAAAAGCGCCATAAGGTTCTTCTATATTCCGCGGACAAACTTTTCACATCGACAGTTGTCGAGAGACGTTGTCGTTAACTTTTTATCGAATGGATATGGATTTTCGATACGAAATGTATTTTAAAAACGAATTCAATTATTTAAAGTGGCACTTTTAAAGTCGATAAGTTAAGCTAATCAAAAAGTAAAATCGAAAATGACGAATATAAATTTTTCTATTTTACAGTGTATATAATTCAAAAATATAACAGAATACATCTACGTCATGCAGCGATAAAGTAAGAAAAAAATAATAAAAAGTTGAATATATGATCCATATAAACGACGAATTGTCACCAAACTCCTATAAGCCCCAGGCTACAAAAAATACATCATAAGCTCTTGTTCGCTATAAAATGAACTTAACTTCTTTTATATCTTTTATGTCTCTCTTAATTGAAACTTTTCATTTAAATCTTTATTCAAGATTTACTGAAATACTTAGAATACATTTAAGGTCAACTTATGATTTGTTATAAAATCTTTATAGAAAGTGTAAAATTTATTTTTTAAATTTAAGAATATAATTTTTTAATTTCTTAATGTTTGTGTTGCTTGTAAAAATATTTAATCTTTATCGATATTAATCCAATTATTGAATATTGCGTCATATAATATAATTTTATATTAACGATTTATAAGTTATTTTCAAAAAAACAAACTGTATATAATTAAAAAAATTAATTATACTTTCAAAAAATTTTTTCTTTTATTTTAAGATTATATTATCTTTCCTTAGCAAAATTTAATTATCTTCTCTTAAAATATTTAATTTTTTAGGGATTATTATATAACTAGAAACTATTGCTCTTTTAATACTTCTATTAAGATCAAGGATATAATTGAATTGAAATTGGTCAAAGAAGTCGTTAAAAAATGATTCAATATAGTATATTTTTAAATAATTTGATATATCTTTCTACTTCTTAATATAATCATCATCTAAATTATCTTAATATAAAAAAAGATTGTATCGGAACGAATCTATTTAGTATCTATTTAATATTCATGAAAAAAATAACTAGGTATTAGAAATGAGAATTTTATGAATTATAGCTATAGAAAAGCAAAACTTTTTGGATTATTTTTATTGATATTAAGTAATTCTAAAATATTGTTTACCATTGAAATCTATTAACATCGCATTATAAAATAAATAATGTTTATTATGCATTTAATTTCTAAGCACATTATTAATTAATAATGGCATATGAAAATTCTTCGATTACCTGTGTATCTTTAATTCTTTAATGTTCGATTATGTATATTGCGATGTATATACCTTCTCATTTTCAATATCGGAAATTTAATGATTTTATTGTGTAATATTTTTCGAAAAAATATTATCTGTTTATTCATTTTAAATATACGTTTCTATCCAAGAAGTAATAATTTAAAACCTCTTTCTGAAATAGGAGTTATTATTGTGTCATCGTACATGAAAATGTAATAAGTTTAAATATATAACTATAACAGGTAGTATAATTATCTTGAAATGGAATAAGATTGATCAAAGAAAGTTTAAAACGACATTTATGAACTAATTGTAAGAGAATAATCGATAGAATTTTACAGACAAAATGCTACAATTTACGAGTTATTTTTATAGACACATTAAATGGTTTCATAAAATTCTTTTACTGCGGTACAAGTACAATTCACTCAGCCGTTACATTATAAAATAAACTTTCACAACACGAGACTTGTACTTATAAGATACGTATTGTAGTAACAAAACATCAATTTCATTCTATTCATAAACATGAATCTTATTGTTAAAAGTGGTCGTTAGGATTTTTTCGGATTGAGAATGTTGCACATCAATCTCACGGCCGCAAGGGCGATCTGCAGCTTCTTTTTATAGCAGTACCGACCGTAAAACAAAAGTCAGATCGGTATATCATACCACTTACGTAATAGTAGTTAATGGTGACGGGGAGTCTATAAATCCAAGAGGAGGGCAAATAAAAACGGCTCACCTTGGAAAGCAGCTTCGAAGGTGGTCTTCTCCTCCACGGGGTTCTGGGCAAGCACCAGAACGACCGACAGGTATCCCAGGATGACGAAGAGCCAGCAAACGTAGCGTAGTCCAGCCATTGTCCAGCGATAAACATGCACGTCGCTGGGGTCGATAAGTCCTTACTGTCGCATGCTCCAGCAAATTCTGTCGATCACTACGCGGCACACACGAAACACACTCTCTCTCTATCTACCGAATCACTAATTACTCGCGACTACTGGCACCAGGCAATTCGAGATGCACTGGTTCGAGACACTCGTCACAACGCTATGAATCGATGCTGCGACAACCGATCACGCGAGCCTCGTTGACTTTCTGTGGACCAAATAAACCAAAGAACCGATAAATAAAACATAAAAATTCAAATTCCAACGAAAAGAATATATATTTTATCAGAATAATTTTCGTAACTTTAAAATTGATTAATGTCTTAAATATTTTATTTAATAATTACGCACAATTATTCACCAAAAATTTTGAAGAATAAATTTTTACAGGAATATTTTAAAAAGTATCGTAGCTTCTGCTGATTAAACGCTCGACCCAATGCAACGTTTCAATATTACAAAAAGAAAGAGAAGCAGCTATCGCTAAAAAAAATGTAGAAGCTTTTAATAATGATAGCGCGTTGTAAAAGATGAATTCAACTAGCTATAGTGATGACGATCGCGAATATCATTCATAGTTCTACAAAAGTGAATTGACACTGGCCGATTCAGTTGCAAATGGCGTGTACGTAACAAAGTATTGGCGGCGTTTACTATTCTCGTTATATCATGGCAAATGATAGGTCTCTATTTTCGCACGATACTCGATGCAAATTTACTTGACACCGTATGCATATCAATGCGGGCATGCATATTTCCCGCGGGCTCGCACAAAGAGGTTGTTTTCGCCTCGCTCTCGGTCTCTATCTACGATTCGTTCTCTTTTTCTTTTTTTTTTTTCAAAATTCGCAGAACGAAGAGACAAGGTATAATCGTGCATCTCGCCGCGAGAACTCCCGAGACGCAACTATCCTCTCACCGAAAACGCCCGGCAGGATGTTCGCATGGCGGAAAATGTAAGGCGAATTGCTGCTACATCCGGATTAACACGCGAACTCGCAAGTATTAACGCCTTTAGAATTAGGTTTTTTGCTTATTGCCAGTCTTGCGTTACACCTTTCCGCCGCAGCGTCGGTGTCGCCAGACGCGAACGTTACGTGAATATGCAAGACGCCGTGTCCAGGTACACAGTTGCAGAAAAAAGTCAACCATACACTGTGGTTAAAATTAAATTTTCGGAGTATTGTTGGAGCATGTGACTTCGTTATGTGGAACAATGTACGAGCTAAGTTAATATTGCGTGCAAATCTCGTTTCATCGACTCTATATCAATTTAAGTAGTTAATTTAAATGACAAATTTCCCAAATGTTGAATAATTTTATTCTTATTTGTGTGTTTCTTTAATGTTTTATGCTCTTTTATATTTTAGAACGTCTTTTTATCTAGATTAAAAAGAGCTCTTCTAATAAAATAATTCAAAGAAAAATAGAAATCTGTTATGTATCTTATAAGCGTATTAGTTTCGCGAAATAAAATAAAATTTGAAAAATAAAACACAAAGATAACTGTAGTCTCATAAAATTTGAGAAGAAGTTAAGTAACCGGTTTATCAATTATATTAGGCAAGCATCACATCCGCTGCTTTTAGATTTCAACGACGATCGAGGTAGCTCGATATCGACTGTCGTAGTCGATAGTTGACGTTTCAGCTTAAGTCACCGACTGGTGTCACGAAGTTGCGGCAGATAAGATTACCCTGGTAGAGCCTCGTGGCCGAAATTTCCATCCCCAAGTTGCGCGATGTAAGCTTCAGCAGTCATTGGGTAAAATGCATCAGGTTACATCCATTGCATTACGCCCTGGTATCTTATGGATATCGAGTACAACTTATATCGTACATTCTTCTCACGTATCATTTGAGAAATTGGATTTTTTAACTATTGAATCTGCGAAATCAGAAATTGAAGGTGCGCACGCGTCGAATTTTCTTTTGACAACTGATTGTGATAAGGAAATATTTAATTCTTCAAAAAATTTTTTGGATACGTAAAAAAAAATTGCAGTTTATTTTTTAATTTTAGTTGACCAATTCAATTAAATCGATTACTTTGCAAAGTTAATATACTGTTATGTAAGATAATAATGTAAAAATAATAAAGAAGATAATGTAAAAATAAATAAAAACAAATTTTATACAAATTTATGTAATTGTGAAATTATAAAAAGTAACGTATTTTTTTTGTTATGAAATTAAAAATATTAAACATTAAAAAAATATAGCTTGATTCTTAAATCAATCTGTAAAATTTCGCATGCAAATAATAGAAAATCAATTTCAAAGAAAGATTTGTCACCCAGAAGTAATTTAATTTAACAAATTGCCTACAAAAATTAATGCTTTTTATTTTGGCATAAATTTTGCAGTAAACTAAACTCGCGTATTTTTTATAATAATAGTTCAAAGTAACGTGCTTCATATTTAATATAGCAATATAATTTAACTTATTGTGTACCTAGAAATAACTGTTTTTTTCCCGATTTGTTTTTAATAATTATTACATCTATCATTTATTCATTTATGCATTGAACAAATTATATCTTGCGGGATAGATTGTCTCTCTCTGAATAACTTTTGTTATCACATTTTATTTATTGATTAATGAAAATGGTTTACTCTGTATTGTGAATCTTTATTTGTATAAGACGAATCGTGACAAGCTAAATTAGCAATCGCAAATTTATACCGGGGGGGGGAGGTTATAATTTAATGTGCGATATGTGCTGGCTAGATATATATATATATATATACAGATTTTATATAAATTACAAAATAATGTACAAAATTAAACCAACAATTTTCTGCTATAACGTAATATTATATTTAATTATAATTAAATATCGAATATTGTAAATATGGAACACAAAAAGTTTAAACATGGAATATAAAAAAGTTGTCACGAAATGAAACATGATATTAATAATTGAAGAATTTCCCCGGTATAAATAGATATTTGTTTCTATAGAAAAAACATTCGATGCATTCGTTTACTGCGATCTAGAATTTCCTTAAATATAAGCTACATTTAAAAAACTTGATAACATCAATTATCATTTCAATTTTGCTATTTATCAGTTTCCCTTTAATCAATTTTTTTCCTTTAATTATATTTCTTTTTACAAAGAAAGGTTTTCTTCATACGTATGTTTTAAGAATTATATTTGTAGTGAGAGTTATAGTATCAAATATAAATATACGATCTAACGTGTGTTACAATATATTTATCTACTGCTATTTACTGCATAAATGCAATAATTACGTGGGAAATATGGAAACAGCTTGCAGCTTTAACGCAGCTCGTAATAATTTAGTATTTGCGCAATACAGCTTGTTGAGAATTTCAGGAGAAGCTTTTTTCACACGATACAATTCAAGTTGCTACAAAATACAATGTGACAAAGGGAGACTCGGGTTGCACTATTGTGCCATTATCCGACGGCTTGATAACAAACAGATTTTAACCCTTAACAAACTGACGTTCAACGACATTCGATACGTAGGTTAAAGCTGTTCCATGTTACATTCCGATTGAAATAAATATTCACAATCTCACTTACAAATTTTAATTTCCTACTGTTTGATACTGAAATTGTCTGTAGTGATAAAAATCACTGCAGCATTAATCACTATTTGCATTAAATGATTTTCAATAAAAATTGGAAAGTAATGTTGATTATTCAGAATGATTAACAAAATCACATTGAAACTAATAAAAATGATGATTAATAAAAATGATAGTGATTAATGTGTTAAACGAATCTATTTTTTGATCTAGTTTACATATATTCACGCAAATTCTCTTGTGGCGCAAAAGAGCGTATTAAGAACGAATCTTTTTCACGAACATATTGAGATTCCAATCAAACAAAATCCTTTAATACAGAAAATAATTAAATATATATAATATATATATATGAATGTGTATATATATATATATATATATACATACACATATATATTATATATATATATTTGTTTAATTAAAACATTACTTCTGCGCATTGACACGTTAATGCTCCATCAGTAACATCTTTAACGATTACCGAATAATCTACATGGCTAAGCGTGAAATTCGTTCCTCCAAGAAAGATTGACCGTCCGACGCACCAGTCCGTGCCGTCCGTGGTGTGCGAGCAACAAGCAACCGACCTCGAAAGAAGCAATAATTTACGCCCTCCTAAGAAAACGATTAACTCATCGAGGATCATACGGGTGGAAAGTAATTTTTGATCGATAGAGACTAAAGTCTCGCGCGCGCGAGTGACTCACTGCCGAAAATATGATGCGTGCGTGCGGATACGCAGCTTATCGAGCGATCGCGTCGCGGGCCGCGAACCGAAGGGCTGCTGAATCAATAAGAGAAAAAGCGTCGCTTCCGCGACGTTGCTCTTCGGGGAAAGGCCACTACGCGTCGTCCGATGCGAATCGGAGCGGTCACGAGCGTCGCCGAGATGCCACGGAACTCCCGGTTTTCCCGTAGGGTTCGCAGCGCAACCCCCTCGCCGACACACCGTTAACCCCCGTTTCGCGTCGCTGCGCCGCGCCGGCGAAAGCTCGACGATTTTCCCCGTACCTGTCGCACGACACGGCTTCCTCTCGTTCTCGTCGCAGGCGGATCTTTCTCCTCTTTGTACTCCTTTTTAACTTCTCTACCTCTACGCGAACGAACGAACGCACACACGCGTCGCGGAGCGTCACAACGGCCGTCGATGCCGGCCGGTGTCTCCAATCGAA